TGTTGATTGTGGATCCAAGTAAAATGAAATCCTTTACAACTTCAATATTTTCTGTGTTTATCACGATGTTGCTTATAAGCTGTAAAGATCATGGCCTTGGAAACTCTGTGGGGCAGTTCTATTCTGTCCTACAGGGTCGCTATAAGCCAGAATCGACTTGAGGGCACACAGCAACAACATAAGACCCTTGGGAGGATCAAAGGAAATCGGGGCGATATTAGACAGTCTTACAGCATGACAGGCGCTGGTTGGGGGCAAAAGGGGAGGAGGGAAGACAGCTGACTATGCCTTGGTCGGGGCATATAACTTCAACTCCCTTTCACCTGGCAAAGTACACACGCTTCAATGTTGAGTTTGGAATTCTCCTCCTCCAGGAAGCCTTCCGGGATCTATGCATGTGCAGACTGGGTCAGAGGCCTCCCTCTCTCATGGGCCTGATTACACTCTGTGGTCATTGTTTCCCCCATTTAGACTCTCAGGGCAGAGACCACATCTGGGTCCGAGGCACCCTGCACAGTGCCTGCCCAGAGTGGGTGTCCGGGGGAGTCAGAGGGTGTCCAGGGGATGGATGAGTCCTGACTCCATCCCTGCAACTTGTTCCCCACCCCTCACCAGCTTTGCTCCTGCCCCTCCAAGCTCTCTCCTCCCTCCTCACTCTTTCCCCTTTCTCCCCTCCCAAAAGTGGAGGATTCCAGATACTTTCTTTGCCAAAGCGAAGCCAAGTACTCTCTGTGGGCCCAGTTTTCCCATCAACACAAGGTGGACATTAAGAAGCATTTGCTGAACCTTGGCTCTGTCAGGCCCCACACTGGGCGCTGGGATAAAGCGAGAAATCAGACACTGCTCAACAAATGACTCTCAAATCTGACCACGTGGCATCCGTGTTAAACACCAAGAGGGGCTATCACATCTGTAGGGTTCAGGGAAGTTCTCTCTGGTAAGGCAGCACTGAAAATGTGCGTGTAAGAGTGAAATAGGGGACGAGCGGAGAAAGGACACCCGCGGGGGCCCCACGTGGACAAAGGCGCTGCGCACAGTTCTCTGGCGATCACAAAGCCCGGGTTGCCGTGGCAGCGGCGCCGGCAGCCGGAGCTGGAGCAGGGCGCGGTGGGGTTCAGGAGTGGGAGGTGGAGCTCCCTCAGGCCTTCGGGGACTCGGGGCGGGCCGGCGCCATGGCCACCAAGTGGTTCAGCGGGGCGCCCTTCGGGGTGCAGAGTGCCAGGTGGGGCTGGGTTGGGGACTGGGGCGGCTGATCTGGGTCCTGGGAGCTTCGGCTGGCGCCAGCAGTTCAAG